AAGGTCATCAAAAAATACTCTAAAGCTCTCAAATCTTAAAAAAAACTTCAAATTCGTGCTCAGCGCATCCGAAAACCCTAGAAAAACTTTGAAAATATCAAAAAGTAACTTAGAATAGGTAGTTGGATTTGGGTGACCCTCGAAACCCAATGAATTTTCTAGTTTGCCCTTTCGTTTAAAACGAATCACAAACCTATAAAGTAGCCCCTTACCTAATGGTTGTTTTTTTCATATTTCTTTAAATGTTAGCCTTATTGAATAATAGATCTGGAAATTTTCGGTTTGAACGTCAATTGGTATCCTGAGAAATGCCATATCTTGGTCATTTCACTCCAATTGTTTTGTCTTTGATTTCAATCGATAGAAAATTAAATTCTGCGTCAATTGATATCAAAATCAAAAATATCGCAGTGAAATTGACCGAGATATGCCATTTTCCGTTGCACACCTATTATCGTTCACGCCGAAAGTTCCCAGGTCTATTGGGTAGCGCAAGATTGTGTCATTAGGTTTAATTTACATTCGATACCCTTCTCCAGAAAAAGTTAGACGATTGCATGTTGCAGCGACATCGAAAAGCTGCACGCGCAGATGAACATGGTGCAAGAGATGGTTGGTGGAGTGTTGAAAGGGTCGAAAAGCGGCAAGGGAAGAGGGAACAACATCAACATCAAGATTGACCAGTCTTCCGGCAACGTTTACAATCATCAATACCTCAACTCTGTGGTCATTCTTTCCCCATTGCGGCAACTTCTTTTCCTTGCCGCTTTTTTCCGACTTTTGTGAACTGTATATGTCATTGTAATTGTGACTCGAAATAGCCTTAATTTGTTTTTCCTTAAATTTTGAAGCAAACTGATCTGATTGACCCCTTAACCGCCCATTGTACAGATATTTGTGCTCGTATTCGTGCTTTATCTTGCATTTTATGAAATAAATTTTGATCTTTTCGAAAAAGGAAATTATTTTGTAAGTAGCACACAAAGTATGGAGACAAACTGTGAAATAATGCAATCCTGACAATCTGCGTTGATCAAGTAAATAAGCTGCGTATACCCTGGTAACCCCGAACCGAAAACGTGATTGACTATCAGTTTAACGCTATGCGCGTGCTCGAATCATTCAGTTCGACTGGTGGACTATGAATTCAATCAAACTTTCAATCCAAAGAACAAGCTTCCCTTCAAATAGAGCATTCAACATTGGCAGAAAGAGTAAACACAAAAAAAAAAAGAACAAATGTTTGCTCCGTTCTAGTTTGAAGATAAGGATAAAAATGAAGCAAGGAAATTTAAAAAGCTCTTTGAATTCAAAAAATATTCGTATAACTAGAAAATGACACAATTTTCTCGCAACAAAATTTTTGTTTTTCCTTGCAATTTTTCTCGCAATAAAATTTTTGTTTTTCTCTTATCAAAATTTTTTTTTGGGGCACATTCATCCTTATCAGCACGACTTTTTTATTTTACGAAATGAATTTCTGGCTCAAAAAGTCAAGGTGAACAAAACATTACTTGTGAATAATATCATCGGGTTCTCTTAGCTAAATTCAACTCCACAATTTCAATATTCTCAAGGTGAGTTCCGAATTTCTTGTTGCTTTCAGTTTTTCAGGGCTTTTTGTTTTATTACATATGTCTAACTGTAAATAAAGTTGAATGTTTTAGTAAAGGACACAAAAGTCGATGTACCGTCAAGTTGAAAAGTCAGAAATCGATGTCGAGAAATTGTATCGTCAAGTTGTGGATGAGGGGGAGCAAGAGAAGGAGAGGGGGATTTGTCGGAAAGAGTCCTTTCTCCTCGTCTCACTTTTTACCACTCTTCTCGTGATCGCCGTCATTTGGCTGTTTCTGACGATTTTCGCAAATTTCGATCTCAAACAGTGTGTGCCGATTAAACCTGCTTTCGACTATGCTTTCGACAATTTTGCTTAGATAAAGTGATTCGTGAAAAATGAACCGAACACACAGCCAACTATTAGAATCCACTTTAAATTAAACTCAAGGCTTTTCAGTGGTAAGAACAACAGCACGTCGACGAACGACGAGCTCGAGACGCTGCTGAAAACTTGCAGAAATCTCGCGTCAGTTTCCTTGCTCATTAAAAATTTACATGAAAAAAGTTTAGATGGAACCTCAAGAAGCGAATCAACGAAACGTAAGGGCAGAAATTCAAATATGTGTCCAAGGGTTGCACCAATATGCTTAACGCGATTTGAAGCGTAAAGAATTGAAAAATCGCTCATGTTTAGGTTTAAATCAATTAGACAAATGAATTTGCTATATTTTTCAAAATGAATTCTTCAATGTGTTGCAAAAAATTACCTTTTTTAATTCTTTGCGATTACAAATCGGACGCTAATACACCAGGGAAGGTCAACTGGAAGTGCTGGCCAAATCACATGAGCCATCGACCATTCGACGCAGAATCTCATATTGATCATGATGCTGCTTTTCTTTTTTGCTATAGAGCACTCTGTGAAAAGTGCTATAGAGCACTCTGTTATACGCGTTTAAAGTTTTGTAAGGAGTTTAATAAACAAAGCCCGACATAACAACCTTGTCTTTCGCGGACTTGCCAGTTGCAGCGGTAGCCGAGTGATAGTGAGTTGGGACGCAATACGGTGGCTGTCCCGTTCGACCCCGGTAGCTGGTAGCTTTTTTTCTTTTTTTCGGTTTTAATACCTTATGTGTTCTCTATCGTCGCACACAATAGCATCTGGCATGCAATAGTATAGCATCTGGCACACCACTAATATGGATAAGGAGCCCAGACCGTTCCGATCAATGAGCTACCGGATTCGAACCCGAAAGCCCTCGCCTTGCCTCCCAGCCTACTACCACTGGGCTACCCCTGCAACTGCTGTTGTAATGTAATAGACAAGGTTGTAATGTCGCAGTTTTGATTTTTGAAACTCCTTACAAAACTTTAAACGCGTGTAACTTTTGACAGAGTGCTCTATAGCAAGAAAGAAAAGCAGCACCATGATCAACGTGAAATTCTGCGTCAAATGGTCGATGGCCCATGTGATTTGGCTAGCACATCTAGTTGACCTTCCCTTGTAAGCCAAAACGATCAGACCTTAGTTTGGTTTCGGCTTTCAAAGAAGACCCCTTTATATGCAAGTCTTTCTACACTCTTTCTGAAAGCTCTTCTTTCAGAATCGATGCAAAAACCGAAAACAAGGAGAAAGAGGAGTTTCGGGAGAAGACCAAAAAGTAAGAGCCTCAACTGGTATCAACATTGGCCTATTTGTAGATTCATGGATTGTGGACAACAAAGAAAGGATGGGAAGCTCATGACGGTTTAAACAGTACAATTTCAGCAACTCATAAGATCTTAGGAGTTACAGAAGAAGATCGAATTCCTCGAGACGTTGCTCAAATCGAGTGAAGGTGGAGGGCAGGTGGAAGTGAACGTGGATCTCTCCTCGGGCAACACCCACTACTATCGACATTATCATTATCAAAAATCAGTCAGCAGTGTCTCGTGGCTGTGTGCCTTTTTCATTTCAACTCTGGTATTACTCTAAGCTCCCAATTCGCCATGCGTTCTTTTTTTCTTTTTCTCCTTTGGTCAACCATCTTCTCTTGTTTGTTGTTTTTAAAAATAAATATTTTGAGACGAATCTGTTGCACAACTACAAATTTGCCATGAATGATCTCTTACAAGCTACCTATATTACAATTGTTTTCAACTTTTCCCTAGTTACATTTTAATATTTTTTAATTATAGAAAACAGGAACCAGTACTTTACGACCTTGAAATTTTTGTTTTTTTTTTTCTGTTTGCTCTTTCATTCAATACTATGAAAGTTAAAAATAAATGATATTTAGTATCCAGTCAGAAATGAAATCCATATTTTTACTTCTCGCTCTTTCTATTGGTTTCTACTTTGGGAAAGCGCAGAATGCTCATGCCAAGGGATTTGTGACATGCCATGGAAAACCCTATTCTGGAGCCGGATTCGGACTTCGAGTCTTTGAGTGAGTTCAAGATACAAAAAAATGAAATATCAGGTATTGTATTGTAGAATTCAGTAAAATATTCACTTCTTGTCTGACTGTGAAACTTTCTGCATATAGAAAACATTCTAGCGACACGAACAGATCCGCCTTACAGTCTTATTTCATTCAAAACAGGGTCTTTTACCGGCTCTCAGAGCCAATCCCGACGATTACGAGTGGGCCGACACTAAAGAAGAGAGGTCGCCAGCGGAGCTGATCGCCATTTCAAAATCACCGGCTCTTGCTCGAAATGGGCCAAGCCACACTTCAACATCACTATTTCTCATGATTGTCATGATCTGGTCGAAGTTTTTATCAATTCAAAAAAGCAATTCCCGGAAGAACCACTTTAAACATAACAAAAAAAGTATTTTTCAATAAGTTGCCAGGTTTTTTAAGGACTGATATCAACAAGCGACAATCTTTCTTGCTCTCTTTCTACTAAAACAAGAAAAACAAGAGATTTCAGACTGAAACAGACACTTTGAACTGTGGGAAGTCGATTGCAATCCGATTACCGGATGAATCCCAAGAGAGTCTCTATGATGCTGGAGAGCTGAAATTGGAGGCCATCGAGGTGCTCAATTGGATGTGTGGAGGGGCTATGCTACCAGCAGAAGAATCAACACCGGAAGCCCCACAAGAAGAATGAGCAGGCCAATTCCAATATTCATCCACATAAAGAACAATCCATTGTTAAATAAATTTTTTTCAGCTCTTTCACTGCTTTTCTATTCTTGTCCCCAATTCTCCAATCTTGTGAATCTTTGAAATTTTTGAACAAACATTTCAATTGTTGTTGAATGATGAGAGGAAAACGGTTCAACTGTTTCAACAAAAATTTTAGTGCAATCTTTAAGCCAAAAAAGTAACATAGATTTAAAATCGAAAAGAAGAAAAAGGAAAAATTGCAATACTTGATTGAGATGAAATAAAACGCAAAAAGGCAGAGGAAGGGTCACAAAATGTCCGATTTATTTCAAATTCAAACTAAAATTTGCCTAGCATTTCACAAAACTCTCGAATGTTCTTTTGTTCATGTAGTCGACCAATGCTTCCCAATCGAGACGAGTACGTTGATGGGTTTAGTGCCTCTATGTGCTTGTTCTAAAAAGGAATCTTAGAATTAGCCCCAAGAACATAAAAAGTTTAAAGATTTGTTGAAAAGGGTCTTGTTGATAGCCTAAAAACTTGAATCAATATCATTTGCGATATCAATATGTTTAGGTAACCACAGTTGAACTCGACTTGTCAAAGCTTACTTTCCCATATCAAACGGACTACCTGGTGCAATATTGGGATGATCGATTACACATCGATTATACAAATATAAGCCATGCTGTTAGCTTGGCTTCAGGATAAAACTCAGCCTTCAGCGAGCATTTCTTTCGTTTTGCTGATCTTAACACGGAAAACACGAGAGTTCAGATAACTTTGGTACTCTTTACTAGATTTTAGACCTGTTGTTGCTCTTTATCCCTGCAAAAAAGACCCTTTGAATCAATGGAGTTATACGCCCGCAAAAACAAACAAATTAGCATTTCATTTTTTACCAAATATCCTTACCTAAACCATCAATTGAGTTATTAAACTTTACATAAGTTATGGTGAATAGAGTCGATTTCTCGTTTTTTGTGGGTTTAACTCCATTGGTGCGGCCTTTCTTAGAGGAAATTTAGCCTAAATTTACCTCAGTCCGTCCCTCTTGCGACAGCGAATTCCACGGCATTCCGAGACTGAGCGAGTGATTCCGTGCTCTCACCTCATTCACAATGTCATTCACATCACGATTCTTTGTTTCTAAACCATAAATTTGGTTTAATTTGGAAGGTGATAGTAAATCAATCTTCAAGAAATGAAGCTAATTTTGTTAAAGTTTTAGGAAAATAAATTCAATCATTTGTTACAGATTATCCCTTACCGGGTAGAATGAAGTACAGAACGACAATCGAGATACAACTGACCACAATGAAAGGCATGTAGCTGAACGTGACACCGACCATCTGAATGTGATTTAAGCTAGTGCAAGACAAGTAGAATTTAGATTAGATTAATAGAATTTGTAATTTGTAATTTGTAATTTGTAAGATTAGTGCAAATAAAAGAAACTGACAAGGGAAAGGCCACAGTAGGTGTGGCCAAAGTGATCTCGCAGAATTTCACGCTAATTCCGAATAGTTTCAAAAACAAAATATAAAATAAAAATAAGAAATACAAAATAGTTTTAAAGCCAGATAAAATTCAAATCTTAAAAGATGAAAACGCAAAACGTTTTGTCAAAAAAGGAATCGCACTCGAGCAAAAAAAATGGAGTGATCGTTTTGTACGCCAGCGTTCTTTTCACTATACCACCATCACGCTTAAGGCCCGTAAAAGAACCCTTATTAAGGCACCTATTTGGCTCCAAATTTTTCCCAGTCTAAAACTTAAAACACGTGTAACTTTTTATAGAAAGTAATTTTGCAAAGACGGAAAGCAGAGTCGGAACCGACGTGAAATTTTGCGTCGAGTGGTCTATGACTTATCTCATTTGACCACATCTAACTGTTGCCTTTCCCTTGTAAGCTTTGTTTAGTTCTCGTGCAGAAAATATTGGCCAATTCACTACTCACAATCAGCAGTTTAGATGTATGGTGATTGTTTTTCCTTGAAGTTTTCCCTGCAATCCATATTACGAAAGAAATTTAAGTACTTCAACTTAGTTACCTGTTGAAATGGTAGATACGCTGATGAGATAATCATCGCCATGAAGTAGGCGGCAAAGACCGAGACCGTGACAGCCGTTGAACGGAACTGAAAACGATTTTGGGATTCAAATTTACTTGAAGAATTCTGCGACTTCTTTAAGGCAAGCATTAAAAGTTTGAATCAAGCGAAATCTTACATGTTGATTGAAAAGCTCTCCGGTGATCATCCAGGGAATCGGCGAGCCGACCCCATACACGCACATGTACAAAACGAGCGCGCCGATCGTTCCGTAACTTGCCCAAGTCGCCTAAAACAAAGCCGTACTTTCAAAAATGACACTAAGTTTAAATTTTCTAAGTTTCTAAGTCAAAACAAACGTGGACTCACTTGTTCGTATTGTTGAATTCCTGTGAACAGAGTGAGCAGCGATAGAGCAATGAGGCAGGCGATCAACTAAAAAGGAGTTTATATACAAGTTTATTCTACAACTTTACAATTTCTTGTACTTTATGCTCAACATGGAAATACACACCATCTGGCAGATTGAATTCTTTATTAGTGCGCCAGAAAGAAAGGAAGCAAAAATGTTTTGATCTTCTGTGCACGAAAATGGAACTAAACCCTGTCTGTAGCAATTAATCGCATTAATTTGTTCAAATTTTATCGAAAACCTTTATTTATTCAATTGAACTCACTTGGAATAGAGAAAGTGGCCTTCGCCCAACTCGATCAATCAACAAAGGAGCCGAACAAGCGAACAAGAAGTAGACGACACCGATAGCCAGCGTTGCGTAACGAGCTGTTTGTCTAAATTTCATTAATTAAATATAATTTTATGAAGTTGATATGACTCTTTCTTGAAATTTAAAAGAATAAGATACCTACTCAATACAGAAGTTATCTTTTTGAACTTTTAGCGGCTGCAAAATGTTTCGATGCTCGTAGGTTTCTTGATAGATAGACATTGGCACTACACGCTACAAACACTTCTAACTTGCTTCAACTCTGCCGGATTGACATGATCTATACCTTGAAAAAAAGAGAATCTCAAGAGCTTTCGAATGGACTAAAGGATACCCAAAAAATATCAATGCTAAAGAAAGTTACAGTGGTTTGTAGTCCTAGGGAACCGTACTTGCACGTAGTTGAAGCGATCGAGTCGTTTGCAGTGTGTTTACATGTTCGGAAGCGTTTGCAGTGTGAAAATTTGTCATTTTTGTAATCTATACTACCAATGTCTCTTAGTTACTTAATTCCTAAAAATTCAAGATTCCAGTATTCCTTTATTGATTAGATATCATCAAGTCCAAACTCACGGATCAAGTTTCGCGTTGATAAACATGTCAGTCGAGTAAGCAAAGACAGCTGTACATCCGGTGAATTGTTGAGCGACCATGACAAGAAGGGAAACGAGTAGGGGAAGACGGAGCTTCTTGCTCGTGAAGAGTTCCCAAAAAGAACCGGATCGACTCTAGAATGAAGCAATATTCACTTCTGAATATGAAGATTTACTTTGTCTCGTGCGCTTTCTCGGATGAGTTCGTTGAAGACGGGTTTTGCTTGTTTCTCGCCAGCCAAAGCAACAATTGAATCATAGGCAGCTTCTCGATTTCCACGGGTCATCAATAGATATCTGAATCATAAAGTAAAAAAATGAATGGCAAAGTGAAGAAACTCCAAAGCCTCAGTTCCCATTTTTTTTGCTTACTTTGGTAGGATAAAACAAAAACGGTAGGATAAAACAGAGAGCCAATGCTGGGATTCCTGGGAGCGCAAAGGCGATCGGCCACCAATTTGATCCACCAAGTACCTAAAAGTCAAACCTATCCTATTTAATTTTATCTTGTAAAACTTGTAAAATAAGCTTCTGAACTTTGCAAATAACTCAAAAATATAAAAACAAACTTCAGGAAGTCCAATGAGCAACGAAAACCAGTCAGAGAATGAGACGGCCACCTGGAAGCCATTTTTGTGAAAAAACAATACTTGGAAACTGGTAAATTTATCGAGCTGATAAAGTGGAAAGTTTGGGAATCTTTCAAATTCAATTACGAACCATATGCAAAGTTCCAGCGGCTCCTCGATATTTTGTCGGCGTCAACTCCATCAAATACATTGGAACGACCCCGGAAGTGAGTCCCAGATTCGCACCAAGGATGAATCGACCAATGATCAACAATTCGGGAGAGCTGAAAGGTGAAACGAATAATGGTTGAATAGCTTGTTTTTTTCAAAAAAAGTAATTTTGTACTGCTAAAGTTAGCCAGGTTTTGATCCCACCTAGCCGTCCTGGCGATCAGCTCGCAAAAAGCACCGATAATGTTGAAAATCCCGTTGACAATGAGAGCATTGCGACGGCCACAGCGCTCAGAAAGAACCCTGAAACTTAAGAAAATTATAATAAAGTAGACTTGTAATGAAAATATCTGTCGATCCTTTTTTGCCATTAGCAATTTAAGGTTTTTCATGTTTTTCTCAGCATCAACCCCTCGATTTTGACTATTTTGACTATCATTCGCAGAATAAAATTGCGCGTCGAATGATACCAAAATTAACTCAAAATGTGATATCTTTACAAAGTTATGATATATCGCGAACTTGATATATCTTATCTAATCAAAGGTTGCACTTAAATTTTTGTTAAAACAGTTGAACCGTTTTCCTCTGATCATTCAACAACTGAAATGTTTTTTCAAAAATTTCAAAGATTCACAAGATTGGATGACTTGACTTGATATTTCATTTTTTTTCTATCTTGAACTCACTCAAAGACTCGAAGTCCGATTCCGGCTCCAGAATAGGATTTTCCATAGCATGTCACAAATCTCTTGGCATGAGCATTGTGCGCTTTCCCAAAGCAGAAAACAATAGAAAGAACGAGGAGTAAAAATATGAATTTCATTTCTGACTGAAAACTAAATATCAGTTATTTTATACTTTCGTACGATTGAATGAAAGAGGAAACAGCAAAAAAATAAGCAAAAATTTCAAGGTCGTAAAGTACTGGTTCCTGTTTTCAAAAATTAAAAAATACGAAAATGCAACTGGCGAAAAGTTACAAACAATTGTCAACGCTAATATAGGTAGCTTATAAGAGATCATTGATGGCAAATTTGTAGTTGTGCAGCAGATTCGTCTCAAAATATTTATTTTTAAAAACAAAAAACAAGAGAAGAAGATGGTTGACCAAAGAAGAAAAAGAAAAAAGAACGCACTGCGAATTGGGAGCTTAGATTAATACCAGAGTTGAAATGAAAAAGGCACACAGCCACGAGACACTGCTGACTGATTTTTGATAGTGATAATGTCGATAGTAGTGGGTGTTGCCCGAGGAAAGATCCACGTTCACTTCCACCTGCCCTCCACCTTCACTCGATTTGAGCAACGTCTCGAGGAATTCGATCTTCTTCTCTAACTCCTAAGATCTTATGAGTTGCTGAAATTGTACTGTTTAAACCTTCACGAGCTTTCCATCAGAAAGCTGATTTCTTTGTTGTCCACGATCCACGAATCTACTAATAGGACAATGTTGATACCAGTTCAGGCTCTTACTTTTTGGCCTTCTCCCGAAACTCCTCTTTCTCGTTGCTTTCGGTTTTGGCATCGATTCTGAAAGAGTGCTTGCATACAAAGGGGCCTTCTTTGAAAGCCGAAACCAAACTAAGGTCTGATCGTTTTGGCTTACAAGGGAAGGTCAACTAGATGTACTGGCCAAATCACACGAGCCATCGACCTTTGGTCAACCATCACATGAGCCATTTAATCCAAAGAACAAGCTTCCCTTCAAATATGAGCATTCAACATTGGCTGAAAGAGGGAACACAAAAAAAGACATTTTGCGCAAATGTTTGCTCCGTTCTAGTTTGAAGATAAGGATAAAAAGGTAACAAGGAAATTTAAAAAAGCGCTTTAAATTCAAAAACTATTCTTGCAACTAGAAAACAACACGATTCTCTTGCAACACAATTTTGGCTTTTGAAAACAACTTCTCTTATCAGAATTTTTTTGACACACAGGCTTTTGGGGCATATTTATCCGTATCAGCATGGCTTTTTTATTTTATGAAATGAATTTCTGACTCAAAAAGCCAAGATGAACAAACGTGAATAATATCATCGCGTTCTCTTAGCTAAATTCAACTCAACAATTTCAATATTCTCAAGGTGAGTTCCGAATTTCTTGTTGCTTTAAGTTTTTCAGGACTTTTTGTTTTATTACATATGTCTAACTGCAAATAAAGTTGAATGTTCTAGTAAAGGACACAAAAGTCGATGTACCGTCAAGTTGAGAAGTCAGAAATCGATGCGGAGAAATTGTATCGTCAAAATGGCCTTTTTTGATTCTTTTTGATTGCAAGTCGGACGCTAATACACCAGGAAAGGTAAACTAGACGTGCTGGCCAAATCACATGAGCCATCGACCATTCGACGCAGAATTTCACGTTGGTCATGGGATCATGACCAACGTGAAATTCTCGCTTTTCTTTTTTGCTATAGAGCATTCTGTCAAACGTTATACGCGTTTAAAGTTTTGTAAGGAGTTTCAAAAATCAAACCGCGACATTGCAACCTTGTCTTCCGCGGCCTTGACAGTTGAAGCGGTTGCCGAGTGATAGTGAGTTGGGACGCAAGACGGTGGCTGTCCCGTTCGAGCCCAGTAGCCGGTTGTCTTTTTTCTTTTTTTTCGGTTTTAATGCCTTATGTGTTCTCTATCGTCGCACACAATAGCATAACATCTGGCACACCACTAATATGGATAAGGAGCCCAGACACTTCCGATCAAATCAGCTACCGGATTCGAACCAGAAAGTCCTCGCCTTGCCTCCCAGCCCACTACCACTGGGCTATCCCTGCAACTGCTGTTGTAATGTAATAGACAAGGTTATCATGTCGCGGTTTGATTTTTGATACTCCTTACAAAACCTTAAACGCGTATAACTGACAGAGTGCTCTATGGTAAAAAAGAAAAGCAGCATCATGATCAACGTGAAATTCTGCATCGAATGGTCGCTGGCTCATATGATTTGGCTAGCACGTCTAGTTGACTTTTCCTTGTAATGATCAGCCAAAATGATCAGACCTTAGTTTGGTTTCGGCTTTCAACGAAGACCCCTTTATATGCAAGCACTCTTTCTGAAAACTCTTCTTTCAGAATCGATGCAAAAACCGGAAGCAAGGAGAAAGAGGACTTTCGGGAGAAGACCAAAAAGTAAGAGCCTGAACTGGTACCTACCTTGACCTATTTGTAGATTCATGGATTGTGGACAACAAAGAAATGATGGAAAGCTCGTGAAGGTTTAAACAGTACAATTTCAGCAACTCATATGATCTTAGGAGTTAGAGAAGAAGATCGAATTCCTCGAGACGTTGCTCAAATCGAGTGAAGGTGGAGGGCAGGTGGAAGTGAACGTGGATCTCTCCTCGGGCAACACCCACTACTATCGACATTATCACTATCAAAAATCAGTCAGCAGTGTCTCGTGGCTGTGTGCCTTTTTCATTTCAACTCTGGTATTAATCTAAGCTCCCAATTCGCAGTGCGTTCTTTTTTCTTTTTCTTCTTTGGTCAACCATCTTCTTCTCTGGTTTGTTGTTTTTAAAAATAAATATTTTGAGACGAATCTGCTGCACAACTACAAATTTGCCATCAATGATCTCTTATAAGCTACCTATATTAGCGTTGACAATTGTTTGTAACTTTTCGCCAGTTGCATTTTCGTATTTTTTAATTTTTGAAAACAGGAACCAGTACTTTACGACCTTGAAATTTTTGCTTATTTTTTTGCTGTTTTCTCTTTCATTCAATCGTACGTAAGTATAAAATAACTGAGATTTAGTTTTCAGTCAGAAATGAAATTCATATTTTTACTCCTCGCTCTTTCTATTGTTTTCTGCTTTGGGAAAGCGCACAATGCTCATGCCAAGAGATTTGTGACATGCTATGGAAAATCCTATTCTGGAGCCGGAATCGGACTTCGAGTCTTTGAGTGAGTTCAAGATAGAGAAAAATGAAATATCAAGTATTGTATCGGCAAGAACTCAGAAAAATGTTCACTTCTTGTCTGACTGTGGAACTTTCTGCATATAAAAAACATTCTAGCGACTCAGAAAGATCCACCTTATAGTCTTATTTCATTCAAAACAGAGTCGTTTACCGGCTCTCAATTTTCAGAGCAACTCCCGACGATTACGAGTGGGCCGACACTAAGGAAGAGAATCTGGCCAGCGGAGCTGATGGCCATTTCGAAATCGCCGGCTCTTGCTCGAAATGGGCCAAGCCACACTTCAACATCACTATTTCTCATCATTGCCATGACCTGGCCGGATGATTCCCAAGGGAGTCTCTATGATGCTGGAGAGCTCAAATTGGAGGCCATCGAGGTGCTCGATTGGATGTGTGGAGGGGCTATGCTACCACCAGAAGAATCAACAGAAGCACCACAAGAAGAATGAGCAGGCCAATTCCAATATTCATCCACATAAAGAACAATCCATTGTTGAATAACCTTTTTTCAGATTTCTCAATGCTTTTCAATTCTTGCCGCCAATTCTCCAATCTTGTGAATCTTTGAACTTTTTGAAAAAACATTTCAATTGTTGTTGAATGATGAGAGGAAAACGGCTCAACTGTTTCAAATTTGAGTGCAATCTTTGATTAGATAAGATATCAATTAAATATTGAAGTTTGAAGAAAAGCGTATTGAACGGAGATTGGAAAAGAGAAAAAAATTGAAGAAATGCGAGCACTTGATTGAGCCAAAAAAGTAAAATAGATTTAAAAACGATAGGAGGTAAAGGAAACATTTCAATATTTATTTTTGAGCATTAATATCATTTAATAGCAATAAGAATGACAGCAAATACTTTTGTCAAACTTTCATAGCCAAAATTGGGATTAGTTTCTGGGTTCCCCTGGAAACTCCGAAAAAAAGGGAAAATTGAGCTTTTTCGAATATTTGACAAGAAGATCTTGCTGTAGAAGCTCCTCTAGCGTTATCTTTTTATTCAATGGACTTTTAAAGCAAAAAACCACAGGTTTAATTGAAGTAATCTGTTTCTAGATGAAAATATTGTGTGCCAAGAAGTGTTAAAAATGGTAGATCGCCGG